ATTGTACGATTTGTTGGTGGCGTTTAATTTGGCTAATTTCAAATTAGTTTCACACAGTACCTTAAAGGTATTGAATGTTTTGGGTGATTCGAGTTTATTTCCAGTGCAGTTCTAGTTCTGTTCTAGTTCAGTTGTAGTTCTGTTCTAGTTCTGTTCTAGTTCTGTTCTAGTTCTGTTCTAGTTCTGTTCTAGTTCTGTTCTAGTTCGGTTCTAGTTCTGTTCTAGTTCTGTTCTAGTTCTGTTCTAGTTCTGTCTAGTTCTGTTCTAGTTCTGTTCTAGTTCTGTTCTAGTTCTGTTCTAGTTCAGTTCTAGTTCAGTTCTAGTTCTGTTCTAGTTCTGTTCTAGTTCTGTTCTAGTTCTGTTCTAGTTCTGTTCTAGTTCAGTTCTAGTTCTGTTCTAGTTCTGTTCTAGTTCTGTTCTAATTGTGTTCTAATTCTGTTCTAATTCTGTTGTCTAGTTCTTTTCTAGTTCTGTTCTAGTTCTGTTCTAGTTCTGTTCTAGTTCTGTTCTAGTTCTGTTCTAGTTCTGTTCTAGTTCTGTTCTAGTTCTGTTCTAGTTCTGTTCTAGTTCTGTTCTAGTTCTGTTCTAGTTCTGTTCTAGTTCTGTTCTAGTTCTGTTCTAGTTCTGTTCTAGTTCTGTTCTAGTTCTGTTCTAGTTCTGATCTAGTTCTGTTCTAGTTCTGTTCTAGTTCTGTTCTAGTTCTGTTCTAGTTCTGTTCTAGTTCTGTTCTAGTTCTGTTCTAGTTCTGTTCTAGTTCTGTTCTAGTTCTGTTCTAGTTCTGTTCTAGTTCTGTTCTAGTTCTGTTCTAGTTCTGTTCTAGTTCTGTTCTAGTTCTGTTCTAGTTCTGTTCTAGTTCTGTTCTAGTTCTGTTCTAGTTCTGTTCTAGTTCTGTTCTAGTTCTGTTCTAGTTCTGTTCTAGTTCTGTTCTAGTTCTGTTCTAGTTCTGTTCTAGTTCTGTTCTAGTTCTGTTCTAGTTCTGTTCTAGTTCTGTTCTAGTTCTGTTCTAGTTCTGTTCTAGTTCTGTTCTAGTTCTGTTCTAGTTCTGTTCTAGTTCTGTTCTAGTTCTGTTCTAGTTCTGTTCTAGTTCTGTTCTAGTTCTGTTCTAGTTCTGTTCTAGTTCTGTTCTAGTTCTGTTCTAGTTCTGTTCTAGTTCTGTTCTAGTTCTGTTCTAGTTCTGTTCTAGTTCTGTTCTAGTTCAGTTCTAGTTCAGTTCTAGTTCAGTTCTAGTTCAGTTCTAGTTCAGTTCTAGTTCAGTTCTAGTTCAGTTCTAGTTCAGTTCTAGTTCTGTTCTAGTTCTGTTCTAGTCCTGTTCTAGTTCTAGTTCTGTTCTAGTTCTGTTCTAGTTCTGTTCTAGTTCTGTTCTAGTTCTGTTCTAGTTCTGTTCTAGTTCTGTTCTAGTTCTGTTCTAGTTCTGTTCTAGTTCTGTTCTAGTTCTGTTCTAGTTCTGTTCTAGTTCTGTTCTAGTTCTGTTCTAGTTCTGTTCTAGTTCTGTTCTAGTTCTGTTCTAGTTCTGTTCTAGTTCTGTTCTAGTTCTGTTCTAGTTCTGTTCTAGTTCTGTTCTAGTTCTGTTCTAGTTCTGTTCTAGTTCTGTTCTAGTTCTGTTCTAGTTCTGTTCTAGTTCTGTTCTAGTTCTGTTCTAGTTCTGTTCTAGTTCTGTTCTAGTTCTGTTCTAGTTCTGTTCTAGTTCTGTTCTAGTTCTGTTCTAGTTCTGTTCTAGTTCTGTTCTAGTTCTGTTCTAGTTCTGTTCTAGTTCTGTTCTAGTTCTGTTCTAGTTCTGTTCTAGTTCTGTTCTAGTTCTGTTCTAGTTCTGTTCTAGTTCTGTTCTAGTTCTGTTCTAGTTCTGTTCTAGTTCTGTTCTAGTTCTGTTCTAGTTCTGTTCTAGTTTCTAGTTCTGTTCTAGTTCTAGTTCTAGTTCTGTTCTAGTTCTGTTCTAGTTCTGTTCTAGTTCTGTTCTAGTTCTGTTCTAGTTCTGTTCTAGTTCTGTTCTAGTTCTGTTCTAGTTCTGTTCTAGTTCTGTTCTAGTTCTGTTCTAGTTCTGTTCTAGTTCTAGTTCTGTTCTAGTTCTGTTCTAGTTCTGTTCTAGTTCTGTTCTAGTTTGTTCTAGTTCTGTTCTAGTTCTGTTCTAGTTCTGTTCTAGTTCTGTTCTAGTTCTGTTCTAGTTCTGTTCTAGTTCTGTTCTAGTTCTGTTCTAGTTCTGTTCTAGTTCTGTTCTAGTTCTGTTCTAGTTCTGTTCTAGTTCTGTTCTAGTTCTGTTCTAGTTCTGTTCTAGTTCTGTTCTAGTTCTGTTCTAGTTCTGTTCTAGTTCTAGTTCTGTTCTAGTTCTGTTCTAGTTCTGTTCTAGTTCTGTTCTAGTTTTGTTCTAGTTCTGTTCAAGTTCTGTTTTAGATCTGTCCAAATTCTGTTCTATATCTTTTATAGTTCTGTTCTAAATAGTTCATATCTATTTAGGTTTTCAGCGTTGTTACTCTTTTAAACACCTGTTTTCAAACTCTCCAAAATACGATAAAACTAAGTATTTGTTATACTTTTGGTTTTAATTTTTGCTCTTTTTTTCAAATATTATTTAAAACATAGTTGCGTATTGTTTGCACTTGACTAAATAAAAAATAAATAAAACTAATATTTAATTGTACAAGTACGTCAATTAAACTACTTTTTGTTTAATTTCATTTTTCAGTTCTGTTCTATACTTTTATTCTGTTTTTAACTATTGTTTTATTATTTTTATTATCATCTGATACATTTGTTTATGTATGTATGTGTGTAATTAATTTTATCTTATCAAAAATAATTTTGTTGTTGTCTTAGATTCTTTTATTATCATTTTTAGTCACAAAATATTTAAGTTTTAACGTGTGTAAGTATGTTCTATATAATTTTTATACAAGTGAACACTGTAATTATTTTTATGTTTTCTGTAACATTTTTTATAGATCAGTTATGATTCCATAATTGTTTCACTTTTTTCATTTAATTGTTTTTTAATGGTTTTTTAAACTTTATATTTTAATAATATCTATTTTTTTTAACTTTTTAAACTCCACACACCTGCTGTTCGCTACTCTATTAATTCAACTGCTTTAATTATTATTTTCAAAATTATTTTACCATAATTCATCCATTTTTTACTACCAAAGAAAGAGTGTGAGTAATGAATTTGAATTTTTCTGGTTTGATAAGAAATTTTCTCTTGTTTTAAAAAAGTCAAATAATTTAAAATGTTTTTAGTGCATACTTTTAGACATTAGTATTTGAAATTTAATTGCCAATTTTTAAAAATTTCTCAACATTTTAAATATCCCAATTTCAGAGTTTTCTTAAAATATCTGTTCTGCTCTTCTACGATATTCATAATTATTAGATATACCAATTTTGCATCAGTTCTAGTTGAGTTCTATTTGAGTTCAGTTCCAGTTCAGTTATAGATAAGTTTTAGTTCAGTTCTAGTTTCTGTTCTAGTTCAGTTCTAGTTCAGTTCTAGTTCAGTTCTAGTTCAGTTCTAGTTCAGTTCTAGTTCAGTTCTAGTTCAGTTCTAGTTCAGTTCTAGTTCAGTTCTAGTTCAGTTCTAGTTCAGTTCTAGTTCAGTTCTAGTTCAATTCTAGTTTCAAGTTCTAGTTCAGTTCTAGTTCAGTTCTAGTTCAGTTCTAGTTCAGTTCTAGTTCAGTTCTAGTTCAGTTTCTAGTTCAATTCTAGTTCAATTCTAGTTCAGTTCTAGTTCAGTTCTAGTTCAGTTCTAGTTCAGTTTTTCTAGTTCAGTTCTAGTTCAGTTCTAGTTTCAGTTCTAGTTCAGTTCTAGTTCAGTTCTAGTTCAGTTCTAGTTCAGTTCTAGTTCAGTTCTAGTTCAGTTCTAGTTCAGTTCTAGTTCAGTTCTAGTTCAGTTCTAGTTCAGTTCTAGTAAGTTCTAGTTCAGTTCTAGTTCAGTTCTAGTTCAGTTCTAGTTCAGTTCTAGTTCAGTTCTAGTTCAGTTCTAGTTCAGTTCTAGTTCAGTTCTAGTTCAGTTCTAGTTCAGTTCTAGTTCAGTTCTAGTTCAGTTCTAGTTCAGTTCTAGTTCAGTTCTAGTTCAGTTCTAGTTCAGTTCTAGTTCAGTTCTAGTTCAGTTTCTAGTTCAGTTCTAGTTCAGTTCTAGTTCAGTTCTAGTTCAGTTCTAGTTCAGTTCTAGTTCAGTCTAGTTCAGTTCTAGTTCAGTTCTAGTTCAGTTCTAGTTCAGTTCTAGTTCAGTTCTAGTTCAGTTCTAGTTCAGTTCTAGTTCAGTTCTAGTTCAGTTCTAGTTCAGTTCTAGTTCAGTTCTAGTTCAGTTCTAGTTCAGTTCTAGTTCAGTTCTAGTTCAGTTCTAGTTCAGTTCTAGTTCAGTTCTAGTTCAGTTCTAGTTCAGTTCTAGTTCAGTTCTAGTTCAGTTCTAGTTCAGTTCTAGTTCAGTTCTAGTTCAGTTCTAGTTCAGTTCTAGTTCAGTTCTAGTTCAGTTCTAGTTCAGTTCTAGTTCAGTTCTAGTTCAGTTCTAGTTCAGTAGTTCTAGTTCAGTTCTAGTTCAGTTCGTAGTTCAGTTCTAGTTCAGTTCTAGTTCAGTTCTAGTTCAGTTCTAGTTCAGTTCTAGTTCAGTTCTAGTTCAGTTCTAGTTCAGTTCTAGTTCAGTTCTAGTTCAGTTCTAGTTCAGTTCTAGTTCAGTTCTAGTTCAGTTCTAGTTCAGTTCTAGTTCAGTTCTAGTTCAGTTCTAGTTCAGTTCTAGTTCAGTTCTAGTTCAGTTCTAGTTCAGTTCTAGTTCAGTTCTAGTTCAGTTCTAGTTCAGTTCTAGTTCAGTTCTAGTTCAGTTCTAGTTCAGTTCTAGTTCAGTTCTAGTTCAGTTCTAGTTCAGTTCTAGTTCAATTCTAGTGCGTTCTAGTTCAGTTCTAGTTCAATTCTAGTTCAGTTTCTTCTAAACAAATCTTAGAGAATCAAAAAGTTTTACCATTTTAAATGTTTTTTTAAATAAAAATATATTTTTCCAAAAACAAAAACTTAAATTATCAAATCATATTACTCTTAATCCAAGGTATATAAGCAGCAACTCGTGTATAAACTCCGGGAAAACCGGTACGGGCACATTCGTAACCAAATGAAACAACACCAAGTAAATAATAATGATATGAAGAACCCGACATCTTAAATTAAATACTAATTTTATAAAAGAAAACAAATTAATAAAAATTAATGTACTAACCTGAGGCAAAATCAGAGGACCACCTGAGTCTCCTTGACAAGCGTCCACATTGGAATTACCGGCGCAAATTAGCTATAATATAAACATTAGTAATTATATTTCGTTAGGATTGTCAGTATAGTTTACCTGTTCACTAAATTTCACAAAACTAAAAACCGTGCGATAACTTTGTTCACACACTTGTCGGTCAATAATGGGAACTTGAACATCTCTTAAAACATTAGAGGTGGGAGATTGATGTTTCATAGCACCCCAACCGGCTACAAAAGGATTCATGCCTACAAATTCTTGGTTTAGAAATTGTGGACCTTCTGGCAGACAAATCGTGCCAATGTAGTCTAAAAAAAAAAGAAAAAGACATTTTGATTCAAATTTTGTTAGTATTGAAGAAACGATAACTGATACTAACCGGTCATTATAACTGTCTCACTCAATTCAATTAAGGCCAAATCATTAGTTATACTTTTCAAATCAAACTTTTCATGTATTACAGTACGTTTAAACCGATAATTTCTAGCTTCTAATTCTTCCGGATTTGAAAGATCATGGGCACCCAAACGTACTAACATTAAATTATTGTTAATGCAGTGAGCCGAAGTTATGACATATTTCGAGGAAATTAAACTGCCGCCACATAAAAATTTCAACGAACTAGGATCATATTCATCGCGATAGCCCAAAGCCGCCATCCAGGGATAATTTCCTAAAAAAAAATGTGAAATATAAATACCGGATTGTATAAAATATTGGATTAAATTTCGAAATGTTTAAAGACTATATGGCACAAGCAGTACACTGTACATCACATCAAAATCTACCTTTCTTGGCCTCATAACCGCCCACAACGCGGTTAATAGTGCCCCTATTCACTCCACAAGTAGGAGCTGGTGGGGGCATTACAGGTGGATACTGATTTGGCTCTGATATTAGAGTATTCTGTGTTGAATCTTGATTCGGCATAGGTTGTATAACTGGACCACCAGATGGTGATTGTGGAGTGGGTTGAAATACTACCACACCCATATCGATTGTGGTAGCTTTGCTGGTAGTACTCGCTGCAGTGGGATAAATAACGGGAGGCATTTTGTTTGGTGGCGGAGTATTATTGGAGTCAGAGGGTGGATAAATAACTGGAGGCATGTTGGAATTAGTGGCTGTGATTGGTGGAGCTGTTGTTCCCAAGGGGGCAAATAAAAACGGAGTTGTTTGATATAGTTGTTGAGAGGGTCTTCTTGTGGTTCCAAATATCGTAGGAGGACTTTGTATTTGAGCTGGTGGCGGTTTAGTCATATTTATGGGATAAAAAGGGCGTGTTCCACAGCAGATCTGTTGAAGAAAAGAAAATAAGGGTTTAGTGTTAAATTTACATTCAAATATTTTGAATACTCACCAAAAAATTCACACCATCAAAACCACATATTGAGTTACTAACAAAGGTTTGAAAATCTATGCCATACGAAGTCACACGAGCCTCATCGTAAAATTCCTCTATCATATCGGGACATTTAGCTAAAGTTATACACTTCCCAGCTCGCAAACGAGAATCCACACAATCTTGGGCTGTAAAAACAATTACTAATAAATAACAAGACCAACATAACTCCACATAATTCTGAACACACCCGTAACGCTTTTAACCTTGGGTAGAATTTCCCCATTCTTTGAAGTTAAATCCTGTTTAGGATCGGACATTAAAAGGGTCATTAGCGATATAAGTTGTAAATACATGCTGAAAACTTTTCTAAACTCAATTCAAACGATTCAATTTAGTTTTCTATGTTTACTTTTAAATAATTTCGAAAATATCATAACATCCACCGAGGACCCCTGATTACTAGAAGCCCAGTTATATAAATTTAACTGAGCTCCTGCTGTATTTTGACTAAATTGTTGCCGGGGATCTATACACGGACAATAGGCTATAGGCCTTTGACCGCCCGCTAAACACACTAATGGAATTGAGGGGCAAGGTGGCAAAGTGGGTATTACAATAGTCGGTAAAGGTACAATATTTGTAGTATTTATTATCAATGATGGTGGTACCGGTATTAGAGGAAAATATAAATAGGGATAATAGGGACAGAGACCCTTTAAACTTGCCAATTGTTGGAGCAAAGGCAAAAACAATACTTTTAAACACAAATCATTATATAACATAATTAAAATTCAAACTTTACGCGTTCTACATATTCAAACGTTTTGTTCAGAGATCAAAATTATACTAAATTCAATTTAGTGCATTTGGTCATTGTTTGTTGCTCTTTGTTGATCAATGGACTAAATTTGATATTGGTGTTTAGTTTATTTAGCTTTTTGTTACATATTCATATTTTACACTTTTATTTCATTTGTTTAAATACCGAAACCAATTAATTGAGCTTATTTAAACATGGGGAATTTTTGATGTTAAACGTCAACTAACAACAAATTGAAAACACGTTTGATTGTGCAGATTAGAGGAAGGCCTGAAATATAACACATTAAAGTTCAGTTCTAGTTCTGTTCTAGTTCAGTTCTATTTCAGTTCTAGTTCAGTTCTAGTTCAGTTCTAGTTCAGTTCTAGTTCAGTTCTAGTTCAGTTCTAGTTCAGTTCTAGTTCAGTTCTAGTTCAGTTCTAGTTCAGTTCTAGTTCAGTTCTAGTTCAGTTCTAGTTCAGTTCTAGTTCAGTTCTAGTTCAGTTCTAGTTCAGTTCTAGTTCAGTTCTAGTTCAGTTCTAGTTCAGTTCTAGTTCAGTTCTAGTTCAGTTCTAGTTATCTAGTTCAGTTCTGGTTCAGTTCTAGTTCAGTTCTAGTTCAGTAGTTCTAGTTCAGTTCTCAGTTCAGTTCAGTTCTAGTTCAGTTCTAGTTCAGTTCTAGTTCAGTTCTAGTTCAGTTCTAGTTCAGTTCTAGTTCAGTTCTAGTTCAGTTCTAGTTCAGTTCTAGTTCAGTTCTAGTTCAGTTCTAGTTCAGTTCTAGTTCAGTTCTAGTTCAGTTCTAGTTCAGTTCTAGTTCAGTTCTAGTTCAGTTCTAGTTCAGTTCTAGTTCAGTTCTAGTTCAGTTCTAGTTCAGTTCTAGTTCAGTTCTAGTTCAGTTCTAGTCAGTTCTAGTTCAGTCTAGTTCAGTTCTAGTTCAGTTCTAGTTCAGTTCTAGTTCAGTTCTAGTTCAGTTCTAGTTCAGTTCTAGTTCAGTTCTAGTTCAGTTCTAGTTCAGTTCTAGTTCAGTTCTAGTTCGGTTCTAGTTCTAGTTCAGTTCTAGTTCTAGTTCAGTTCTAGTTCTAGTTCAGTTCTAGTTCAGTTCTAGTTCAGTTTAGTTCTGTTCTAGTTCTGTTTTAGTTCTGTTCTAGTTCTGTTCTAGTTCTGTTCTAGTTCTGTTCTAGTTCTGTTCTAGTTCTGTTCTAGTTCTGTTCTAGTTCTGTTCTAGTTCTGTTCTAGTTTTGTTTTAGTTATTTTCTAGTTCTGTTTTAGTTCTTTTCAAGTTCTAATTCATTGACCAATTTGTACACCAATCTTGAATCCTTTTGGTAAAATATTCTTGCAGCGATCGTAAAGGGTTTTCCTTAAATTATTATTTCACAATTCCTAATACTTGAACTATTTTTACTCCATCCGTCGGATATTCAGTTAAGAAATGTTCGATCCCAATTGTTTGCAGGAACTTGTCCCTTTTTAACTCAATTTTAATTTCAAACTTACTTTTTATTAAATGAAATTGTACTGTTAATAATATTATTACTGTATAAATTTGTAAAAATAAAACTTTCAACATTTCTCGATTTAAACGGACAATTTTCAACTAACTCTGACGCTTAATTGAAAACCAAATCAATACTAAACTGCTAAACAAACATTCGCCACTAAATTAAAACATTGAAAAACTAAAATTGTTGTGAAAAACCTAACACAGCATTTAAATCGTTTAATTGTTACAATTTATATATATTTTAAAATTGAATTATGAAATGAGTAAGTGTTAATAAATAAAAAATATATATAATTAATTGTAAATTTGGAATAGAAAAAAAATCACATGGTAGTTTGAGATAAAACAAAATAATTTAGGCAGACTAAAAGGAAATGGAAATTTAGGTGAAAATTGGAATGTTTTTAAAATAATATTTTAGTTTAAACTCAAACTGTTGAGTTGTTAACTTCAAATTTTGTCACATTGACATTGAACCCTTGTCAAAAGTTTTGAAAAAAGTCAAAGCAATAAAACTACAATTATATTGGATTTTTTTTTTTTCAAACTGCAATTAACATTAATTTTATTTAAATATTTTATTATTCATACAATGTATTGTACATATACATATATAATACAATAAATTAATTACAATAATTTTCTAAAGAACCTCTAAAACATATGCCGACTACCCCTTTCGTTATATTTTTTCCGATTTTTTTTTTTCTCAAATAAATTTTCTAATATTTCACTAAACAATACAAATGTTATATAGTTTATATTATAATGAATGAAAACTTATATAATATTGAAGAGTATTTAGTTGCGATGAAATTCAAAAGAATTATTCCCGATGTTTACAATCCAAAAATAATTGGGCCTCATTCTGGAATAAATTAAAATTAATAATAAAGAAATTTTCCAAAATTATATTGAAAAACAACTCACCTGCACAAAACGAAAGATTTCCAATAGCATTTCATTGGAGGTTTTGCAGTTACCCGGTTGGCTATCAAAAAAGGCACCAGTATTCGACCCAGAGCCACCACCCACCGATCTCTTACCCCAATCGGGAGAAAATGTCAATTGACATTCGACACAGGCCAAGACCAAGAGCACGAAAATGGTTGGTACAATGATGCTGATTGAGTTCATGTTGATTTCTGATGCCAATTGATGATTTCCTGCCAGCTTTTATACTCATATCAAAAAGGATACAATAATAGATGTATATAATTAGTTATAGGGCTTCTTGAGATTTAATTATTTACATATTGTTTATACATAGTTGTTTTTGAGTATTTGAAGGGTTTCCTTTAATGGTTTGGAAATAAGACAAATTAAATATTTGAGGAAAATTATTTCAAATTCACTATTAGGATTCAGTTAAATTAAAATAAACGATCATAGTTTTACGACCAAATAACGATTTTTGAGGAAAAATATGAGTGATCACAAAATAAGCTTATTTTTCAATTTAAACGGGTTTTAACGAAGTTATAAGCGATTTAAGTTTATTCAGGATTTTTGTCCAAATTATCGATTTTGGAAGGCAAATATGAGTGATCAATTCAATTTCAATTTAAAAGTGTTTTAACGAAGTTATAAGGGTTTTAAGTTTCTCCAAGGTTTTCGGTCAAAATATCGATTTCTGAATGAAAGTATGAGTGATCACAAAATAAACTTAATTTTCAATTTAAACATGTTTTAACGAAGTTATAAGGGTCTTAAGTTTCCTCAAGGTTTGGGTCAAAATATCCAATTTTGAAGGGGAATATGAGTGATCACAAATTAAGCTTATTTTTCAATTTAAACGTGTTTTAACGAAGTTATAAGGGTTTTAAGTTTCTTCAAGGTTTTCGGTCAAAGTATCGATTTTTGAGGGAAAATATGAGTGATCACAAAATAAGCTTATTTTTCAATTTAAACGTGTTTTAACGAAGTTATAAGGGTTTTGAGTTTCTTCAAGGTTTTCGGTCAAAGTATCGACTTTTGAGGGAAAATATGAGTGATCACAAAATAAGCTTATTTTTCAATTTAAACGTGTTTTAACGAAGTTATAAGGGTTTTAAGTTTCTTCAAGGGTTTTGGTCAAAATATCGACTTTTGAAGGCGAATATGGTAATCACAAAATAAGCTTATTTTTCAATTTAAACGTGTTTTAACGAAGTTATAAGGGTTTTAAGTTTCTCCAAGGTTTTAGTCAAAATATCGACTTTTGAATTTAAACGTGTTTTAACGAAGTTATAAGGGTTTTAAGTTTCCTTAAGGTTTTCCATCAAAATATCGACTTTTGAAGGGGAATATGAGTGATCACAAAATAAGCTTATTTTTCAATTTAAACGTGTTTTAACGAAGTTATAAGGGTTTTAAGTTTCTTCAAGGTTTCGGTCAAAATATCGACTTTTGAAGGGGAATATGAGTGATCACAAAATAAGCTTATTTTTCAATTTAAACGTGTTTTAACGAAGTTATAAGGGTTTTAAGTTTCTTCAAGGGTTTTGGTCAAAATATCGACTTTTGAAGGGGAATATGAGTGATCACAAAATAAGCTTATTTTTCAATTTAAACGTGTTTTAACGAAGTTATAAGCGATTTTAACTTTCTTCAAGGGTTTTGGCCAAAATATCGAATTTTGAAGGGGAATATGAGTGATCACAAAATAAGCTTGTTTTTCAATTTAAACGTGTTTTAACGAAGTTATAAGCGATTTTAGTTTCTTCAAGGTTTTCGGTCAAAATATGGATTTTTGAAAAGAGAATATGAGCGATCACAAAATAAGCTTATTTTTCAATTTAAACGTGTTTTAACGAAGTTACAAAGGTTTTAAGTTTCTTCAAGGTTTTCCGTCAAAATATCGATTTTTGAGGGAAAATATGAGTGATCACGAAATAAGCTTATTTTTCAATTTAAACGTGTTTTAACGAAGTTATAAGGGTTTTAAGTTTCTTCAATGTTTTTGGCCAAAATATCGATTTTTGAGGGGGAATATGAGTGATCACAAAATAAGCTTATTTTTCAATTTAAAAGTGTTTTAACGAAGTTATAAGCGATTTAAGTTTCTTCAAGGTTTTCGGTCAAAATATCGAATTTTGAAGGGAAATATGAGTGATCACAAAATAAGCTTATTTTTCAATTTAAACGTGTTTTAACGAAGTTATGAGCGATTTAAGTTTCTTCAAGGTTATCGGTCAAAATATCGATTTTTTAGGGAAAATATGAGTGATCACAAAATAAGCTTATTTTTCAATTTAAACGTGTTTTAACGAATTTATAAGCGATTTTAGTTTCTTCAAGGTTTTTGGTCAAAATATCGATTTTTGAAGGGGAATATGAGTGATCACCAGATAAGCTTATTTTTCAATTTAAACGTGTTTTAACGAAGTTATAAGCGATTTTAGTTTCTTCAAGGTTTTTTGTCAAAATATCGATTTTTGAAGGGGAATATGAGTGATCACAAATTTAGCTTATTTTTCAATTTAAACGTGTTTTAACGAAGTTATAAGGGTTTTAAGTTTCTTCAATGTTTTCGGCCAAAATATCGATTTTTGAGGGGAACATGAGTGATCACAAATTTAGCTTATTTTTCAATTTAAACGTGTTTTAACGAAGTTATAAGGGTTTTAAGTTTCTTCAAGGGTTTTGGCCAAAATATCAAATTTTGAGAGGGAATATGAGTGATCACAAATTAAGCTTATGTTTCAATTTAAACGTGTTTTAACGAAGTTATAAGGGTTTTAAGTTTCTTCAAGGGTTTTGGACAAAATATCGACTTTTGAAGGGGAATATGAGTGATCACAAATTAAGCTTATTTTTCAATTTAAACGTGTTTTAACGAAGTTATAAGCGATTTTAGTTTCTTCAAGGGTTTTGGTCAAAATATTGATTTTTGAAGGGGAATATGAGTGATCACAAAATAACCTTATTTTTCCATTTAAACGTGTTTTAACGAAGTTATAAGAGTTTTAAGTTTCTTCAAGGTTTTCGGTCAAAATATCGATTTTTGAAGGGGAATATGAGTGATCACAAATTAAGCTTATTTTTCAATTTAAACGCGTTTTAACGAAGTTATAAGGGTTTTAAGTTTCTTCATGGTTTTCGATCAAAATATAGATTTTTGAAGGGGAATATGAGTGATCACAAAATAAGCTTATTTTTCAATTTAAACATGTTTTAACGAAGTTATAAGGATTTTAAGTTTCTTCAAGGGTTTCGGTCAAAATATCGATTTTTGAAGGGGAAATAAGCTTATTTTTCAATTCAATCGTATTTTAACGAAGTTATAAGGGTTTTAAGTTTCCTCAAGGTTTTCGGTCAAAATATCGATTTTTGAAGGCGAATATGAGTGATCACAAAATAAGCTTATTTTTCAATTTAAACGTGTTTTAACGAAGTTAAAAGGGTTTTAAGTTTCCTCAAGGTTTTCGGTTAAAATATCTATTTTTGAAGGGGAATACGAGTGATTACAAAATAAGCTTATTTTTCAATTTAAAGGTGTTTTAACGAAGTTATAAGCGATTTTAGTTTCTTCAAGGTTTTTGGTCAAAATATCGATTTCTGAAGGGGAATATGAGTGATCACAAAATAAGCTTATTTTAAAATATAAACGTGTTTTAACGAAGTTAAAAGGGTTTTAAGTTTCCTCAAGGTTTTCGGTCAAAATACCGATTTTTGAGGGGGAATATGTGTGATCACAAAATAAGCTTATTTTTCAATTTAAACGTGTTTTAACGAATTTATAAGCGATTTTAGTTTCTTCAAGGTTTTCAGTCAAAATATCAACTTTTGAAGGAGAATATGAGTGATCACAAAATAAACTTATTTTTCAATTTAAACGTGTTTTAACGAAGTTATAAGGATTTTAAGTTTCTTCAATGTTTTCGGCCAAAATATCGATATGAGTGATCACAAAATAAGCTTATTTTTCAATTTAAACGTGTTTTAACGAAGTTAAAAGGGTTTTAAGTTTCCTCAAGGTTTTCGGTGAAAATACCGATTTTTGAGGGGGAATATGAGTGATGACAAAATATTTCGGTCAAAATATCGATTTTTGAAGGCGAATATGAGTGATCACAAAATAAGCTTATTTTTCAATTTAAACGTGTTTTAACGAAGTTAAAAGGGTTTTAAGTTTCCTCAAGGTTTTCGGTTAAAATATCGATTTTTGAAGGGGAATATGAGTGATCACAAAATAAGCTTATTTTTCAATTTAAACGTGTTTTAACGAAGTTAAAAGGGTTTTAAGTTTCCTCAAGGTTTTCGGTGAAAATACCGATTTTTGAGGGGGAATATGAGTGATGACAAAATATTTCGGTCAAAATATCGATTTTTGAAGGCGAATATGAGTGATCACAAAATAAGCTTATTTTTCAATTTAAACGTGTTTTAACGAAGTTAAAAGGGTTTTAAGTTTCCTCAAGGTTTTCGGTTAAAATATCGATTTTTGAAGGGGAATATGAGTGATCACAAAATAAGCTTATTTTTCAATTTAAACGTGTTTTAACGAAGTTATAAGGATTTTAAGTTTCTTCAATGTTTTCGGCCATAATATTGATTTTTGTGGGGGAATATGAGTGATCACAAAATAAGCTTATTTTTCAATTTAAACGTGTTTTAACGAAGTTATAAGCGATTTTAGTTTCTTCAAGGTTTTCGGTCAAAATACCGATTTTTGAGGGGAATATGAGTGATCACAAAATAAGCTTATTTTTCAATTTAAAAGTGTTTTAACGAAGTTATAAGGGTTTTAGGTTTCCTCAGGGGTTTCGGTCAAAATATCGATTTTTGAAGGGGAATATGAGTGATCACAAAATAAGCTTATTTTTTAATTTAAACGTGTTTTAACGAAGTTATAAGGGTTTTAAGTTTCTTCAAGGTTTTTGGTCAAAATATCGATTTCTGAAGGGGAATATGAGTGATCACAAAATAAGCTTATTTTTCAATTTAAACGTGTTTTAACGAAGTTAAAAGGGTTTTAAGTTTCCTCAAGGTTTTCGGTGAAAATACCGATTTTTGAGGGGGAATATGAGTGATGACAAAATATTTCGGTCAAAATATCGATTTTTGAAGGCGAATATGAGTGATCACAAAATAAGCTTATTTTTCAATTTAAACGTGTTTTAACGAAGTTAAAAGGGTTTTAAGTTTCCTCAAGGTTTTCGG